TTCAAACTTCTAGCTGCTTCATGGTTCATAAAAGTTGAACATAAAACCTGGGAGACGAAATAATTTTATATCCTTAAGATAACCACATGCATTTTATAGTTCAGCTCAGAGTCTTACAGAAATTGAAATGAAAACTATGGATTTTTCCATATAACTCTGAAATACTGGATCTACTAATAATATCTAGGAGTTAAATACTGCTTTTATTTTTATTCTTCTTTTCCATACTCATTTATTGAGCCTGTTTTCCTCCTACACTCTGCATACTATGTTGAGCTCTTTGGAGGAAACAAATATGGCTTAGATAGGGACCCTGTTCTCTGAGAGCTTTTAGGAAACAGCAGATATGTAAAGAGCCAAACCCTAAGTCAAGACTTGATAAGGACGATGAAGAGGTGTAAGTAAAATGCATGGGAAATGCAGAGGGGCCAGCCAGCAAGCACTTCCTGGGACAAACAGGGAAGGCAATAGGAAGATGGCAGTGGAAGCGGTACAAGAGGCTAAAGAATAGCCTGAGCAAAAGCTTGGAGATGGGGGCACTGCAGGGGAGGTCGGGGACTGGCAAGTAATCCAATATGCCTGGAGCCAGGACTACATGCCAGACTGTGAAGGTTCTTTCCGGAATCCTGCTGGGCTACAGCCCTCACGGTGCTTCCCCACAGTCTGACACTCACCAGCTCCCCAGGCACCCCTTCTGATTTGGAGTGAGGGCAGCAGGAGCAGGTTTCTGAGAATGGCAGGTGTGAGGGAGATGCAGCTAAAGGACCACAGGGTGCCTGGAGCACAGTTGGGATGCTACCACCAAGTGTGACGGTGTGCAGCGAGTGGAAGGACACATGCTTGCCTAAGAGTGCCATGGTTGCGTGTGCTTCTCTGTGGACTTGCGGAGAAGAGTATAGGACTCAGCAGTTTTCGGGGCCCAGAGTCTCTGCACCCACTCCCAGGCCTTCCCACAAGTTAATTTATGTTTCTGATGTGAAGAGTTTGCACTTGGAGAGTCAATAAAAGCAACAGTGGTATCATTAAAACTATGCTGGTAAAAGCCCTCTGGACTTGGTCATTTCAAGGGATACTAAGTTACCTCGTCTTCTGCATTTACCCACAAGTCCTATTGATGCTGTACCTGAGATATTTCACATATATCCCCACTTCTCCATCTCCAGTCATTCTGCCTGAGCGTCAACTTTCACAGTTTCTCTTCTGGACTCCTCTCCATCCTTCACACCACCAATAGAAAGATCTGTCTAAAATGCAAATTTGGTCTTATCAATCCCCTGCCTAAAAATCTTACAATAAAGTATTATCCAAAATCTTTTTTTTTCTTGTTTTTGTTTTTTTGAGACAGAGTCTCACTCTGTCGCCCAGACTGGAGTGCAATGGCGCGATCTCGGCTCACTGCAAGCTCCGCCTCCCGGGTTTCCGCCATTCTCCTGCCTCAGCCTTCTGAGTAGCTGGGACTACAGGCGCCCGCCACCAGGCCCGGCTAATTTTTTTGTATTTTTTAGTAGAGACAGGGTTTCACAGTGTTAGCCAGGATGGTCTCCATCTCCTGACCTCGTGATCCGCCCGTCTCAGCCTCCCAAAGTGCTGGGATTACAGGCGTGAGCCACCGCGCTCGGCCTATCCAAAATCTTAACATGAGGCCAGGCGCAGTGGCTCACGCCTGTAATCCCAGCTGAGGTGGGCAGATCATTTGAGGTCAGGTGTTTGAGACCAGCCTGGCCAACATGGTGAAACTCTGTCTCTACTAAAAATACAAAAAATTAAGAAAATTTAAAAAATCAAAATCTTAACATGACATAAGGCTTTTCTTTAATCTGGCAAACACTCCTGGATAATCCAGTACCCTTCAAGTCCCATCTGCTCACATTCCACTCTTCCACAGGTACCTGTACTCTAGACTTGTCAAATTAATTCCACCTTCATTAAATATTCTCTCATTTCCACACCTTTACAGACACCATTCAGAAATTCTCACTCAATAGAGTAGGGTGGGGCTCAAGAATATCCTTTTCTAACTGGAACCCTAGGTGATTTCCCCCCAAGTATTGGTGGGGCACACTTTACCCACTGTCCTACTTGTCCAAAACAGAATCTATGTCCTCCTTCCACTGCAGTCCTTCCTATCCACCTAATCAGCAAATCCTGTTGATTCAAACTCAGAAATCCCTCTCAAACCCATCCACATCTCTAACATCTCCCTGACTTTACCCTAGTTAAGACATTTATCATCTTTTGGCTTTTTTGCTGTAATAGCCTCTTAACTGTCCTTTGTGTCCAGGTTTTTGTCCCAATCCAACCAATCCTCTACGCTTTATTCAGAGTGATCCCTATAAACTGAACCATGCCACTTCCCTGCAGACTTCCATTTGCTCTCAGGTGAAAGTTGAAATTTTTTTCTGCATTCATAAAGCCCTGTATGATCTAGTTCCTGCATACTTTCCAGCCTCATAACTCACCTTCCTAGATCCGTTCTGCCATAGGGAGTTTCCTCAGTCAGAGTGGACAGTTCATCTCTACTTCTCTCTCTTCCTTACCCACCACATTCATTTCTTAGGTTCTCATGAGTCTACATTTTTTTTTTTTTTTGAGATGGAGTCTCGCTCTGTCGTTCAGGCTGGAGTGCAGTGGTGCGATCTCAGCTCCCTGCAACCTCTACCTCCCGGGTTCGAGCGATTCTCCTGCCTCAGCCTCCCAAGTATCTGGGATTACAGGCACCCGCCACCACACCTGGCTAATTTGTCTAATTTTTAGTAGAGATGGGGTTTCACCATGTTGGCCAGACTAGTCGTGAACTCCTGACCTCATGATCCACCTGCCTCGGCTTCCCAAAGTGCTGGGATTACGGACGTGAGCCACCTCGCCTGGCCTACATTCTAAATCTTGTATAAATCTTCCCATTCTTTTGTTTTCCTTCTTGCCTCTACCTTAGTTTAGGCCACCATTATCTCAGCAATCTCTACTTGTTCTCCCTGACCCTAATTTTGCCCCCTCAAACCTATTCTTTGCATACGGCTAGAAGAAGGTTTTTCAGTCT